TTTTTTTTTTCATTTTCAGTTTCAACAATTTTTTGACAAGGTAACATTGTTATATCTTAAAATCCAAAGTCAAAGGAATTTACACCTCTAGTTTATTGGAAAGTCCACATTTCAACCCCTTCCCACCTTTAATTTATGGCTAAGGGACTTAAAAAGCATTGATATAAAGGGCATTCTCCTGATTACTAGTACACATCTTTTTCATTTACTTTGGAATCAGAAAGGTGTCTGTTGCTTACCAGTATACCTTAACTTTTGTCAAGTCAGAATCATTATTTACTTGTAGCATTTCAAGTCTCCCGTTTAAGCATCAATATTTGTTATTTCAAAATGTTTACTATTACTAGTTTATTCTAAAATCACTTTTAAGAGATAAATAAGGTAATAATTACACAAGAAAATAAAAATTTATGCAACATTATTCCAATACAACAATATGTACATACATATAAAAATGACACAAGGCACAATATACACCAAACATACAGTTACATATAGGGAGGGGGGAGGGGGGTTACAGGGGTGACGAGGGGAGATGGAATTGAGGGAAATGTTTGAAGGCCAAAAATTATTACAATAAATATGTCAACATGCACCAACAAAACCAGCCATGCACCAACAGAGAGAGAAGACAATGACATCTAAACATCTTCACCTCAGGACTGGCATCTCCATAGACATATTACCATATAAATCTACCCAAAATAATGAACTTATTGTTCCCATTTTGCAAAAGGACACTTAATCTATGATTATATTCAAAAACAAACATATCACCTCCATGACATAATTCTAACTAAACGAAGGACATTAACACAAATGTGGACATCTATTTTCAAAGCAACAAACTTGACACACTGAGCATAAACAAATCATGTTAACACTTGGCATTCATACATGAAGTACCTGAAAAGAAACCAAATCTCTCAGAAATGGAAACTATTTAATATCAACATAAACACCTGGAACAAACCTTGCCAATTTGTTCTGATAGAAAAGATGTCATGCTTGAATGAAACCAAAAACCTGCATGCTTCCCGCAACCAAACGACATCTTGCATGAATAACACAGTATATTAATTCTTAACTCATCAACTGAACATTTCATTCAAAACAAGACTGAAAAATATCAAAAATATTTTAAAAGAAAAACAGGGCTGAGTATTATAACATATATAGTCTGCAGTCTCTCTAACGAGTAACTGAAAGGCAATAATAAAGTATATGAAATCTGGTCAAGTTCACACCAGGAATAAATTTAGACAGGAAAAACAGTAACCAGACGACCAGATAGCTGAGGCTATCCAGTCTCATTCTATGTAATCTAGTCATCTGGTGACATCATCTGGGCAATTCCTGGTCTAAATTGGTTAAGGTTGTGAACAGGCTTAAAATGATCCTACCCCAGCAAAGTTCGCTTTTTACATTCTGGACACATTTTACATATGTGTGTTTGTCCGTAAATAAATTGAGCTTTTCAGCCAAATTGCTCGTTTTTGGACTAAATCATGGTTCCTTGGCAAACATGTCGACTATCTTTTAATATCTCTTGCCAGAAATCCCAATGAGGTGCATCAAGCTGCATCCATTAAATATCCCAAGGTTATAAGACAAGTGAATGCTTCATATTTAATATTATATTTGAACAAATTCACAATCGTGCCTCACCAACATTAAACTGTGCCGGAGTACTCTTATATTAATACTACACTTACTCAAAATCTACTGAAACTCTGTTACAACAAGCTAAAAAACTATCAAAGGTTAAAAAATGTTTCAAATTTTCAAATTTTAGTATCAAAATTTAAATTTCAGCAAAAAAGGGAAGCAAAAACAAATATGCGGTTACGCTTTTTTGCAAGGCGTATCTTTCAGCAGTTAGTCCAATAGGCAAACAAAACTTGCTCACTGTATCAATAGAAAATAAGATCAAGAGAAAGCTTTGTTCTAATATGAACTTTGCACAAATTTATTGACAATTTGCTATCAGTCAACAAACTATCAATTAACTTGAGAAAGAAAGTGAAAAGAACTGCTTGATAAGCCTAGCTGTCCAGGTTAGAGACATGGAACACCAAATCATTACCCGCCACATCGCTTTCTGTGGAGACTAAGTGAGGCGGAATTATATGTCCTGTAATAGCAAAGATGTAAGGAAAAGTAAAATAGTCTTAAACAATCCTCTAGTTTCAAATAAATGGTAACAAAGGCATTTCATACCATATGTTTGATGAGGGACTATTTTGTCTCAGAAAAATAAGTGTTAAGTTGATTACTGTTAGTTCAGCAACATGCTATCCCTCTGCTGCCACCAATGTTAAATGACCATTCCATAGAATTGTTCTCCTTCATAATACCGTCTATCTTCTAAGATAACTTTTGAAAACATATTCCACCTATACATTTTTTTAAAATTTAAGTTGAAATAAGAAAAGTGAAACTGTTCATATTTTTTTCTTTTGATAATTAGATTTAAAAGCTTGTTAGAAGATGAAGATATTACAGTAAGGAAAACCATCACACCCTTGATACTAAAAAATAAAATTTCATGAGAAATTTACTTCATTTTTATTTATCAAAAGTTCATTCATCAACTGAGGTCAATTTTGCCATGCTTAAGTTTTCATAATTCAAACCTTTATCATGATAGAGATTCACCTTTTGGAGATGTCACCATTTCTGCTAATTAACTGAAACAAATCTTATCAAAACAAGACTTAAAATTTTGTACTGATCAATCACAAATAATTACAGGATACTATTTTCACTTTCAGGCTTATCTGCTTTAAGCATGCTTTTTCCAAATAAACTAAGACATGATAGTTAAAATAATTTAGACTTCAACATAATCCATGCTACCTAAAATGGAGATGGAAAAGCACAGGTTTTATGTGCTGCTGTAAACCAATATAGGGCCTTCTACTACATGAAATTATACATTTTTAATGGTTTTAATTCAAAAGTAAAGTAACTGAAAATAAACAAAATGGTGACAACATTTTAGTCTGAACAATGCCAGATCAAACAGAATTGTATTACCTAGTCAACTTTCAACAATTCATGATTTGTTCTTTGTAATAAGAAATTACCCTACATTATACATCAACAGTGTGATATAGTTATTAAACATATAATCTTTAACATATTATACATAATTTCCTGTTTGGTCAACAAGCACCTGCACCTTCAAAAAGAACTTAATCCACCAACTGTTAACACACCACATGCACAATAAACTGACACAGAGAACTTAAATGATAACTTAAATAAAACAACCCCATGTATATCTCACAGTGGCTTATCTAGGGAAACAAGGAAATTAATAGATTTTAAATGTTCCTATATGGAAATATAGGGTGCTCAAAGTTTTACAAACCCCCTCACAGTGCCCCATACAGGTGGGATCCAGATCACCTGCTGTTCCTGCCNCTTTTTTTTTTTTTCATTTTAAGTTTCAACAATTTTTTGACAAGGTAACATTGTTATATCTTAAAATCCAAAGTCAAAGGAATTTACACCTCTAGTTTATTGGAAAGTCCACATTTCAACCCCTTCCCACCTTTAATTTATGGCTAAGGGACTTAAAAAGCATTGATATAAAGGGCATTCTCCTGATTACTAGTACACATCTTTTTCATTTACTTTGGAATCAGAAAGGTGTCTGTTGCTTACCAGTATACCTTAACTTTTGTCAAGTCAGAATCATTATTTACTTGTAGCATTTCAAGTCTCCCGTTTAAGCATCAATATTTGTTATTTCAAAATGTTTACTATTACTAGTTTATTCTAAAATCACTTTTAAGAGATAAATAAGGTAATAATTACACAAGAAAATAAAAATTTATGCAACATTATTCCAATACAACAATATGTACGTACATATAAAAATGACACAAGGCACAATATACACCAAACATACAGTTACATATAGGGAGGGGGGAGGGGGGTTACAGGGGTGACGAGGGGAGATGGAATTGAGGGAAATGTTTGAAGGCCAAAAATTATTACAATAAATATGTCAACATGCACCAACAAAACCAGCCATGCACCAACAGAGAGATAAGACAATGACATCTAAACATCTTCACCTCAGGACTGGCATCTCCATAGACATATTACCATATAAATCTACCCAAAATAATGAACCTATTGTTCTCATTTTGCAAAAGGACACTTAATCTATGATTATATTCAAAAACAAACATATCACCTCCATGACATAATTCTAACTAAACGAAGGACATTAACACAAATGTGGACATCTATTTTCAAAGCAACAAACTTGACACACTGAGAATAAACAAATCATGTCAACACTTGGCATTCATACATAAAGTACCTGAAAAGAAACCAAATTTCTCAGAAATGGAAGCTATTTAATATCAACAAAACCACCTGGAACAAACCTTGCCAATTTGTTCTGATAGAAAAGATGTCATGCTTGAATAAAACCAAAAACCTGCATGCATCCCGCAACCAAACGACATCTTGCATGAATAACACAGTATATTAATTCTTAACTCATCAAATGAACATTTCATTCAAAACAAGACTGAAAAATATCAAAAATATTTTAAAAGAAAAACAGGGCTGAGTATTATAACATATATAGTCTGCAGTCTCTCTAACGAGTAACTGAAAGGCAATAATAAAGTATATGAAATCTGGTCAAGTTCACACCAGGAATAAATTTAGACAGGAAATACAGTAACCAGATGACCAGATAGCTGAGGCTATCCAGTCTCATTCTATGTAATCTAGTCATCTGGTGACATCATCTAGGCAATTCCTGGTCTAAATATGTTAAGGTTGTGAACAGGCTTAAAAATGATCCTACCCCAGCAAAGTTTGCTTTTTAATTCTGGACACATTTTATATATGTGTATTTGTCCGTAAATAAATTGAGCTTTTCAGCCAAATTGCTCATTTTTGGACAAAATCATGGTTCCTTGGCAAACATGTCGACTATCTTTTAATATCTCTTGCCAGAAATCCCAATGAGGTGCATCAAGCTGCATCCATTAAATATCCCAAGGTTATAAGACAAGTGAATGCTTCATATTTAATATTATATTTGAACAAATTCACAATCGTGCCTCACCAACATTAAACTGTGCCGGAGTACTCTTATATTAATACTACACTTACTCAAAATCTACTGAAACTCTGTTACAACAAGCTAAAAAACTATCAAAGGTTAAAAAATGTTTCAAATTTTCAAATTTTAGTATCAAAATTTAAATTTCAGCAAAAAAGGGAAGCAAAAACAAATATGCGGTTACGCTTTTTTGCAAGGCGTATCTTTCAGCAGTTAGTCCAATAGGCAAACAAAACTTGCTCACTGTATCAATAGAAAATAAGATCAAGAGAAAGCTTTGTTTTAATATGAACTTTGCACAAATTTATTGACAATTTGCTAACAGTCAACAAACTATCAATTAACTTGAGAAAGAAAGTGAAAAGAACTGCTTGATAAGCCTAGCTGTCCGGGTTAGAGACATGGAACACCAAATCATTACCCGCCACATCGCTTTCTGTGGAGACTAAGTGAGGCGGAATTATATGTCCTGTAATAGCAAAGATGTAAGGAAAAGTAAAATAGTCTTAAACAATCCTCTAGTTTCAAATAAATGGTAACAAAGACATATCATACCATATGTTTGATGAGGGACTATTTTGTCTCAGGAAAATAAGTGTTAATTTGATTACTGTTAGTTCAGCAACATGCTATCCCTCTGCTGCCACCAATGTTAAATGACCATTCCAAAGAATTGTTCTCCTTCATAATACCGTCTATCTTCTAAGATAACTTTTTCAAATATATTCCACCTATACATTTTTTTTTAAATTTAAGTTGAAATAAGAAAAGTGAAACTGTTCATATTTTTTTCTTTTGATAATTAGATTTAAAAGCTTGTGAGAAGATGAAGATATTACAGTAAGGAAAACCATCACACTCTTGATACTAAAAAATAAAATTTCATGAGAAATTTATTTTATTTTTATTTATCCTTTATAAGATAGAGATTCACCTTTTGGAGATGTCACCATTTCTGCTAATTAACTGAAACAAATCTTATCAAAACAAGACTTAAAAGTTTGTACTGATCAATCACAAATAATTACAGGATACTATTTTCACTTTCAGACTTATCTGCTTTAAACATGCTTTTTCCAAATAAACTAAGACATGATAGTTAAAATAATTTAGACTTCAACATAATCCATGCTACCTAAAATGGAGATGGAAAAGCACAGGTTTTATGTGCTGCTGTAAACCAATATAGGGCCTTCTACTACATGAAATTATACATTTTTAATGGTTTTAATTCAAAAGTAAAGTAACTGAAAATAAACAAAATGGTGACAACATTTTAGTCTGAACAATGCCAGATCAAACAGAATTGTATTACCTAGTCAACTTTCAACAATTCATGATTTGTTCTTTGTAATAAGAAATGACCCTACATTATACATCAACAGTGTGATATAGTTATTAAACATATAATCTTTAACATATTATACATAATTTCCTGTTTGCTCAACAAGCACCTGCACCTTCAAAAAGAACTTAATCCACCAAATGTTAACACACCACATGCACAATAAACTGACACAGAGAACTTAAATGATAACTTAAATAAAACAACCCCATGTATATCTCACAGTGGCTTATCTAGGGAAACAAGCAAATTAATAGATTTTAAATGTTCCTGTATGGAAATATAGGGTGCTCAAAGTTTTATAAAACCCCTCACAGTGCCCCATTCAGGTGGGATCCAGATCACCTGCTGTTCCTGCCACCCCCCCCCCTCCCCAGATATGCCACTGATACCACAGAGTGCTGCAGTGGTCCCAGGGAGACCCCCATGCCAACACCTAAACATGTACCTGTCTCATAAATACAAGCATACGGTGCCGAAATGTTGCAGGGAATTACGTTGTCCTCAGTATCCGTGCAATTGTTTGTCATGACGAGAGCTGAAAATCACAAGGACACATTACATCATGGGTGTGTTACCATAGCAACAAGCCCATCTTGACACGCATGTACATGTATTGGTAAGTGAACAAATGATTACATTATTAGTAGAACATTCATCAAATGCACAAATAGTTGTCCAATTATAGGCAGATTTATTAGTAAAACATTCCATATAGCCATTTGTACACAGCATACCGTATAGTATACATCAGGGAGCAAGCAGGGCATCATTTCATATGGATAAACAATTCAATAATTTTGGCCAAACTCAATTTTTCTAAATCAAATAAATGTATTGGCAATTTTCATACAACATGTACTTTTCCTTCACCTAAACTGAATCATTTATAAAGATATTCCAGTAAAAAAAGTTCTTTCAATGTGGATAAGAGCAACATTTGTCTTTCATTTTAATATTTAATCTAGCTGAACAAAACCACTTCAAGCTTGGTTAAAAAAGAAAAAAAAAAAAACTTAATGCAGTTGGCGTTTAACCCCTCTGTTGTAAACATGTATGGAGTCCAGTGAAATAAAACGCTATGTGCTGAATAAGCCCCCCTCCCTCCCAAACTGGATTAAACCTGCTGATAGTGAAAGCTTCAGAATCTGTAAAATGACGCACTTTTACTGTTAATTTTACTGCATATCAGATTGCATTTTCATGTCTTGTTATATACTTTGGCTTGCCACCTCACACACACACATACAAACACACACACACAATGATAATTATAATAATAATAATATGAAAACTTTTCATCCTGTTGTAAATGCCAACAGTTTTTCCCCTCTTTTTTTCTTTTTTNTGGCTTGCCACCTCACACACACACATACAAACACACACACACAATGATAATTATAATAATAATAATATGAAAACTTTTCATCCTGTTGTAAATGCCAACAGTTTTTCCCCTCTTTTTTCTTTCTTTTTTTTTTCTTTTTTGCATCATCATAGCTGTAGTGTGTTCATTATATTTCTTCTGTGCTACATCCTGAGAAAACAATTCACTTTCCACTTGATCCTAAGTTAAGTAAAGGAAATTAGAGTGAAGTATGGGAAACATGCTACAGCAAAGTTTTCATGTCCTCGTAAACAATGATTTCTGGTGGAAATATTTGGCATAACAGGAACTGTGACCAAATTATTATGGACGTAATTGGTTGATTACTGCGGCCAACAAAAAGTTTACCCTGCCCATGGTCTGAAGAATTCCACTATTCACAGCAACAAAACATGGGTTGCTTTTTAAATCTATTTTAATAAAAGGTGCCTAGTATACAACCAATGTGTAACAATTTTTTCTGGGGTTAACTGTCTTTACTCTATCATATTTTTGACCTACTGAAATTAGTCACAAGCTTCAGATAAGTTACTTTTTATGAATTTCATAACCCAGCTGATATATCATACACATTGACATGAGAGATTATTCAAAACACATATTTTATGGTAAAAGATCTACAAATCTTCAAATTCATTTAGCAATAATCATGATAGAACATTTACTGTTTCTGCTTGAATTCCAACTTCATTAGATCAATGTTACTGTTCATAGAGCCTTGGCTATTATTGCTTGAAGATGAATAATTCAATACATTACTAAATGTCACATTCACAACAAACAGATGTTATAGTTTTAAAAGGAAAAAAAGCTTGGATGAACTTTACAACACCCATGAACCAGTCTTTCAGTTGTGCTTCTTTTCATTTCGCCTTGTGCAAAATTATTTACTAAAGATGAAAAATAACAAAAGAAAAAAATTAATTAATGATCATCAGTTAATCAGTCAAATGAACAAATATATATAAATTCAAACATGTTCCCAGCTGCAGGTGAAAAATTCATATCCTCCATTGTCAAATGATCCTCGCTTTTCTAGTTGAAATATCCTAAATACAGACTAGGTCATGGCCCATATAGTATTACATGATCAGTTTGACAGCACCTTCCAAGTACAAATTAACAGTTGATGGAGAAATAATTATTTCATCACCACTATAAGGCAGGTAAAGTGCTATCTATGTTAATAAGTTTTGTAAGGCAATCTTCTGGTGTTAATAATCTCGGAGAATGAAAACATCTAATGGTTTTACCAGTGGTGAAGAAAACTATGGTGGTCATAGTTTGAATTACTTTGATTTTATCACAAATTCTGTATTTATTTTTTTCTTTAACTGGGACTAACAACAATTTCTCAATGTTTTTCAATATATTATTGGCACTTTACATCAAAAAACAAAACCATCTTGGAGCTATGTCTGAGACCTCGTGTAAATGCAGATGTCACCAGGGGGCACCACTAGTGTGATCACAGAGGACCAACGTGTGAAGAATTCACCACCACTCTCAGTGATGGAGGTCTTAACCTAAGGTTGTTGACTTGGCAAAACATGACCGCCATTCACTAATGGTGCCAACTACAGACTAGAGTCATCTATCTACATAGATCTGACTTCACCTCATTGGAGATAAAAAATGGATCTCATCTCTTCTGTTAAAATGGTGAATTTGCAGAGGAAAGCACCACTTTCAAATTTATATTTTTAAATAAATAATTTCTAGTACAAATAACACAGCATTTATTCATGTTTCAAATAAATATATATGTCAAGAGCAAGGCTGCCAAAGATTTGATATTACTTAAAGGGATAATAACTCTTCGTTTGAGATCTATATTTCACAATAAAAACATTTTGAACAACTCATGAAAATATAATATATTCTGCTGTACCACAAAAACAGCAGTTATAGCTATTATTTTGATATCTGAGCTTGTCTTTAGATCACGTGACCTCCATTGATGGCTATACTCTGTTATAATCTCTTAAGAGATTATAACAAAAAACGAACTTTTTAGAAAAAAACAGGGACTAACTTTGAATGTAAAAATGGATTCATTAACCATTGGTAAGTGTGGGAAAATTGTTGTTTACTCCAGGAAAATTCATTTTTTGGCCAAACGAAGAGTTATTATCCCTTTAAGAAATCTTAGGCAAGTACAAATCATGCAGTGAATGTTTTTTATCTTTATAAGTATGTAAAATGCATAAAAAGGGGTTAACAAAACTCAATCCAAGCTCATAAAAGAAATATTCAATTACTGCTTCCCAGATCTTGCCACAAGACTATAGATGATATGAACTAGGAGCAGATATCTTAATATTCACCTCACAGTTCTTAGTTAAGATAAGTTACCATGGATAAGGTTCAGCAACCCACTGGGGTACTTCCATCAAGATGTATGCTCCAATAACAGTTATTTATTATTATATCTGCTACGTGGTATGTGCTTTTAAACATGTGAAGAAAAGAATTAGGTACAGAGGGAGCAATGGTTTGAATGTATATCAGTAATATGACCAATAACTGCACTGCTTCCAGGAACACTGGTTGAGAAATATCAGCTTACTTTGTCTTTTTGCCATCTATGTATCATTTTGTGTGTGTGTGTGTGTGCACGTGTGTATGTGTACGTGTGTATGTGTGAGTGTGTACGTGTGTATGTGTGAGTGTGCACGTGTGTATGTACGTGTGTATGTGTGAGTGTGCACATGTGTGTGTGTGTGAGTGTGCACGTGTATGTGAAAACACATGCATGTTTGTATGTGTGTGTCTACTTGCTTGTGAACTGACTTTTTAACATAAATAAAAGGGGGTATTCAAGCACCTGACTCCACCCCCCACCCCCCACCTACACCCACCCACCCACCCTAGGGCCTCTTCTGGAAATTGAAAATAATTTTTTTTAAGCCATGCTGAACAGAGGCCATTTTGGTGGGAAAATAACACGTTTAACTGCAGGATTGAAATGTTATCAGGTGTTGCCATCACAACTGTACTTGAAGAAAGTCAAATGTTATCTACAGTTTTCACCTTTTTCCACTTTGGTATGAAGTGTGACAGGCACTGCTTCAGACAGGTCTGTTTAATAGACAGAATAAGCACGCTGATGTAAGGAAAGTACACTACTACAGCAGTGTGAACACAATGTAGATTTCAGTACTTTTCCTGTCAAAACAGCATAGACTACACATTTTCATTCCATCAAAAACACTGTACTTAACAGACAATTTTAGATCAATCTAATTATTTCAGTAAACTAGATCTTCTAACACTTATTACTAGGAGATAGGGCTAAGCTTGAGACATTTTACAACTTATTCTATCATATATAATATGTTAAATATCTGCTGTTATATACATCATTCAATTCAAATTAATTACAAAACTCAATAAAATAAAATTGTGGTATGTCAAAGAAATTCTGCAAATGTCAATTCACTAGTAACACTGTGCTGAGTCAAATGATATGAAATAAAATGATCAAAAATTTCTTTATCTCCCCAGCTTGGTTTCTCAGAATGTGCACCATTGTAGAACATTAAGTATTGAATATCGTCACCCGTCCCAGACATTACGACAGCTGAGCGCCACATCTGCTCCAGGAAAGATAAGATTGAAACAGAAAACCATGGGGAACAGGCACCAGCAGGTTCTTCAATAATACAACTTGACAGTCACATGTGGATGAACATTACGACTTCAAATTTCAACAGACTTTAAGTTGTTTAAAAATTCATCAGCTGCCCGTGTTGCTTTGTTCTTAATGTTGTCACTGCAGGTAATAATGTATAATGAAGACAGAAATGGGGGGGGGGGGGGGGGGGCAGAAACAATAACATAAAGAAAACTAATTATTAATTTTGATTTGGTAACTCTCTTCACAAACCCTACAGATAAGAATGCAACTGGTGGATGATGTGTTCAGATAAGAAACAGCGTATTTTACCAAACATAAACACACACACACAGACACACACGGATACAGACACACTAGCACCTATATCTACATAATATCCCAAAAGCAGTTTCACAAAGGTACACAAGCACTCAATTCATGTTCCAGCCATCTCTGCTCTGCCAAATTCCTATTATTTCTGATCAAAATTTGAGATCACCAAAGAAATGGCTCAAATTCTGACACGGAATTG